GATTTTGGGATTTGGGGTTTGGGTAGAGAGGTGGTGGGTAGAGAGGTGGTGGGTAGAGAGGTGGTGGGTAGAGAGGTGGTGGGTAGAGAGGTGGTGGGTAATGGATAGTGGGAGATGGTTGAGATAATATCTTTTATGTGGATGTATGGATATATGTATGTATATATATATGTATGTGAAATAGGGATGGATAGAGTAGTGATATATAGGATATGCGGGATTTTGGGTGCGTGGGTGGGAATGTGTGATGCGAGATGGGAGATAGTAAAAAAGAAAAGAAATTTAAATGAAGAATTAAAATTAAAACTTATCTTGGATTAGATAGAGGATGATGAGTATTATGATGAGCTGGGGATGTGGTATGGTGTGGTGAGACGAGGTAGGTAAGATAGGTAAGGTAGATATCCAGATGTGTGTGCGCGGAGGAGCGAAAGGAAATGGAGGAAAGATCTAGAGATATATATATATGTACCTATACATATCGATAAACATGAACAAACGAACTAATCATCACATCAGAAGGATCACAAGCACCAAGTAATCACATCGTAGATGAGCCTTCTGTCAGCGAACGTAACGTCAAGTCTAGATATTGATTCAACCTTTTTCTTAAAAATTCATCGCTATGCTATGCTATGAAACTATGCTGTGATGCTATCCTACTGTACACAATACAATGCAAGAAAGACTGTTCATCTACTCGTATCTCTATACGAGACAACGCAACAAGTATATGGGTATCATACGCCAAAAAGTATCCATCTATTCAATGATACCTTAAAGCCAAAGGACGGAAAGATTCAACATTCTCCTCTCTACTTAATCATACACTCACTCACTCGTCTCATCCACAGATCCTTCAAGAACAATTCCTATCTTCTCAATATTAGCATTTCTTCTTCCAAACTCAGATAGTAACAGGGAAACCCATTCATAGCAACCAGGGAAAAAGAAAAAATGTAAAAAGGAATTAAAATCAGAGGTGCACAAAGTGCTCGGTTGTATCGCCATAACGAGGTTCTTGAGGCCTCTCAGTAACACGGACCAATTTTGCTCATCATATTGTATGTTGTGAGGGGAGAGATATGAATTTGGATTGAGTGCGGTACTTACATTGGGTGAATAATGGATATGCGCAGGATGGTAAAGCAAAGGTCGATAATTGTCTGCACATCAATCAAGTTGAAGTAGGCAGCAACATTGTGTCTTCATCTCAGCTACAGAAGTAGCATGAAGGAAGATACACAACTTGAAGCAGTTGATGTGATGTTGTGTGAGTACAAGTTGAAGAAATTATTTTCCTGAAGAGATTTTATGGTGCGGGTCGTACAATCTCGCTTCTCATTTGTCAGGGCAACGGTCGACCCACTTAAACTTTCAGACTCTACATCGTACAAAGTAATAAACCAACATGTTGATATTGAATATGATTGACCAATATTGCCGTCGCCGTTGTATCAAGTGATATGCTTCCGGCGATGTAGTACATTTGTAGGCTCCCGAGTGAAGGATTCCAAACTATGAATTTGTGTCAGCATTTCGGGCACGAGACGTGAAGATGATTAAAACCTACCAATAATTCTCCCTAGCTCCTCAGTCTCAGTCTCCAGATATAACAAATGCTCAAATCCCCATAGATTATCATTTAGAAGGGGGTTGTAAATTCTCCCACTGCGTCTTTTGATAAAAGTCCACAACATCCTCATCCATAGCGATTTGTTCCCTGGAGTAACCTGTAACCGTAAGGCCCTCCAACGTCGTTGCCCGTGATAAAGCAACATATAACTGACCTGACTCAAAAATATCTTTGCTTGATACCTCAACATGTTCCATCGTCATGCCTTGACTTTTATGAATCGACAAAGCCCAGGCTAAGATGAGTGGTATTTGAGTTCTGCAAGCAAGATATCTATCTTCTACCGTTCCCATCAAAGTTTCTGAAGAAACCGGCGCAATTGCAGTCGTTTTACCATCCGTAAACTTCACAACAGGTCTCCAAGGGTTCTTTTCAATAAAATGGTTCATTTGAACTTGTCTCCAATCTGCATGGTCACCTTGGATCACAGCTGCTGGCCATTTTTGTGCATTTACAAATCCGACTATTGTACCCTGAGAACCATTCACCAAGCCACCTTTTTGCTCTTGGTTGTGAAGTAAAACTACTTTCGCACCCACTTTCAACGTCAATCTTTTGGGAAAACGATGGTATTCCGATATGGCGATTTTATATTCTTCCATCTTCTTGTTGATCTCGTGCTGACGCAAATAATCAAGCTCGTTTCGATAGAGTTGACATGAATCATCAAGGGCTTCCCAGACCTTTGCTTCTGATTTTATCAAATCCAATTGAGAATCATTGAACCTGTCAACATCAAAACGCTTTGCCATGAGACGTATAGGAAAAGCATTGGGTGGAAGCACCTTTGGACGTATCAGATCATGCCATTCTGCATCACTCAATTCAACACCATTGCGAACTTTGTTTAACAGGTCTTTGAACTTCTCGTCCTTCTGTCGATGAATTTGCTCCAACTTGACATGTCTAAACTTAAGTTGTTTCCACACAGGAGCATTGAATGCCCATTTATCACCCGGCTTGAAAGGGTTATTGTCTGAACGATCTTTGCATAGATTACTCTTACAAACACGGTCAAAAACTCCAGCCATCTCAACTCCACATATCATGCAATGCTCGAAAGGTTTTACAGGGGGAAGTTGATAAAAATCGCCCAAAAATATCACTTGAATACCCCCGAAAGGTTTCTTGGTTTGCTTTACCGTCTGGAGAAGTAAATTAAAACGCTCAAGGAATTGGCTTTCAACCATTGAAATTTCTTCCAATATCAGAACTTCTAATCTTCGAAGAGCTTTTATGGTTTTCTTCTTTATGTTATTGTCATCGAGAAGTCGATCGAGGGGCATCTTGAATGAATCTGGTTTCCATCCAGCAACGGAATATGTTGTTCTTCCATTCAAGGGCAGTGCCGCCAATCCAGTAGGAGCAGCAACCTGAACTTTCGGGATGTTTGAATTGTTGTCCTGTAGCGTTTTCTTTAGCTTTTCTATGATTTGCAGTAGGGTAACTGTTTTCCCAGATCCAGCGGCACCGGTAAGAAATATATTATCTCTACCCATTGCCATCTTGACGACTAATTTCTGCTCGGTTGTAAGTTCAACAGGCTTAGGGATATCTTCACACGTTGAAGTGATGTTGTCGAAAATCTCTTCATCAGATAACTCAAATTCTGAGTCTGGAATTTCAACATCAGGGTTTAGTGTAGGTGTGTTCTCGCCAGATTTTGCCTTCTTAAACGATGGTGTTTTTCCTCCTTCGGAATCGAGAAGTTTGACGGGTGATGTTGCACGCTCTGGACTTTTTGTAAGGTCAATAAAGGTCTTTTCGGTTGATATAGCACTGATTTCTGCTTCAATCGGTCGAGCAGAGGTTATTACGACACTATCTTTGATGTTCATGGAAGAATCTTCATCTTCATACTTCCTTTTCAACCCTACCCGTGCGTTTAAATGGTTATCAATCGCAGTTTGATTCACAACTCTAGAGAGATCTGTAAGATCATTCTCTAATGTGTCATGTGGTACACCTTCCGTAGGCGCAAAGCCTTGAGTCTGTAACCACTCATTCCATGCTTTTTGAGCTTCATCATGAGTCTCATAACCTTTGAACTTGGCACCAGAGAAACCTGATGTAGATGCTTGACATTGAGCCCACCCATCAAGAATTCCAGTTGTTCTACCTCGACATACTACAAAGTAGTTCTTTTTGGGCCCTCTTTTACCCATAACGAGCGCTCTGGTTTGGCAAACATCCGTTTGATTGGGTCGTGGATATTTGGTCGACAATTTGTTGGCAAAGAGAGATAAGAAGACTGGCAATCTAAGCTTTGGCATGCGGTAGACAATCTAGAGCGTAGGATACCTTGTAGGTAAAGACCATTCAATGCAATTATAGAACCACCCGAATTATAGAATTTCTGGATCCAATGGTGTCATAATAGATATGGCACATTCAAGGGAGCACAATGATTTTTGAGACAATCTTTTCTATATTCATGCGTAGGGCAGAAGTTGTAATGGAGGGTTGGTGTCGCAAGGTTGAGATGGATATGATATGATATTGGATAGATAATCGCATCGAGCAGCCGGTATCAAGAGAAGGTCTAGAATATCAAATCAGATCATTAATTGTCAGCAGGATATGATAAGGATGATGACATACCATGTACGAAGGGAGTGAATTGATAATCCGGTAGTTCTGATATGGTTCTCGACCTTCAATATCAAATAATGCTGGCTGGTGGTATGGTATGGGTGTAGATGAACTTGGTGGTTATCAAATTGACATGAATTCCAAATTCTTTCCACGATAATTTGATGGATACTTGGGTAGCCTTGTCCAAAGCCTTGTCCACAGCCTCGTTCAGCCCATGTGAGCCTCGTCTTGAAAGACTCCGGAAAGTCCGTGCTCCGAAAATACCCTGAAAATCGATTAACTTACCCCTCCCTGCCTCTAATGTAGCACCTGGTAGGTACCCGAGTAGAACTCCGGTACGCGAAAGACCTTATCAAGTGAATCAAAGTACCACGGATGATGAAAAAGCGGGTTTTCGGATCGTCCCTATTATCTTAGACCTTCCTAGAGCTTCTTAGAGGTTCTTAGTATTCCAAATACTCGCAACTGATGGGGTTACATTCCGAATTATTGTGGCTAATGAACAACAACGACACCAATGACAGCAACAACACCAATAGCACCAATAATACCATCGCACAAGGTAGCTCTCATGCATATACGCTTAAGTGACGTTATGGCGGGGTGATTGAGTGAATACTTCGTAGTTAAGTATGGGACTTCACCCCTCTTCTCATTCTTCTTATTTCATTCTTCTACATCCGCTCTTCAACTCAACACATCACATCTACAACATCATACTATCTTAAAAACAATCAAACTTTCAATACCAAATACTTAAATCGCAATCATGGTCAAGGTCGGAGATTCCATCCCAACTGTCGAGCTCGCCGAGGGCAACCCAGGCCAAAAGGTCAACATTGCTGCCGAGATTGGTGAAGGTTCTGGTATCATCATTGGTGTTCCAGCAGCTTTCAGTCCAACATGCTCTGATTCTCACGTTCCTGGTTATATCCTTCACCCAAAGCTTGAGTCCGCTGGAAAGGTCTTTGTTGTATCCGTCAACGATGCTTTCGTGTAAGAACTTTCCAACTCCGCAACTCCGACCCCACATCCTCGAGGCTAAACTTGGCTAACTTTCTTATGAACAGCATGAACGCATGGGGTAAATCTCTTGACGCAGACAAGAAGAGTGGTATCCGTTTCCTTGGTGACCAAGATGGAAGCTTCACTCGTGCTTGGGATCTTGAATTCCCAGCTGCTCCATTATTGGGCACAAACCGAAGCAAGAGATACGCAATCGTTATCGAGGGTGGTAAAGTCAAGAGTGTCAACATTGAGCCAGATAACATTGGACACACTGGTATGTTTGAAAGACCGGCCTATACTTGAACACATATGCTAACAGCTATCCCCTAGTCTCCGGCGCTGATAAGATTCTTGGAGAGTAAGGAAAGGATTAATGAAAGGATTGGTTTGAATAACAGCTTATATGTCATATAGACACACGGTCAAACATCGTGAGGGGAAACTTTGAGATTTGGGTTATGATAGTTACAATTGAAGAATTTTTTTAAAACATATGGGATCATTTATTCATGTCAAATGTTGATGTAATTAAAGAAGTTGGGGCTGAGAGGTAGAATGCACTACATGTCTGCCAACACAGCCCTCGACTTCTACATTTCTCTGTCCCAACATCACCACACCGCAGTATCAACACAACATAAATTACCTACAGCTGGTCCTTGACAACTCTTCCCTTGTTGGTGTCAGTCCCCAGTGGAAACTACAACAAGTTGCACCGTTCCACATGCACACCGGCAGTGACCGTACTCGCCATGTAGTCCACAATGGTGACTTGAGGTCATTTAATCACTAAACTTTAGCATCAAGTCCTTTGGATATTCAAGTACTCTTCATACATGAATGAAATATGGCCTGACTCCTGTCTTTTCATGCTAACCATCTATATATTTCAAAGGCTCCGGCTATTCCGAGGAAAACCACAATGAAGAGAAGTCTTTCATTTAATTTCATAGATTCAATGCTTTATTAATTTTTCTCTTGGATCTATTGAATCTATTGAGGTTTAAACGTCCGACGGCCGGAAGAATTCTCATAATAGATTCCGGAAGGACTCCGAAGGAGAGAGGTGTTACAGGGAACTAGGGAGTGTGTTGTAGCTAGATAAAGCTTAATGATATCGTATAGACTATAGTTGTGGAAGTCCACATCGCGTGTAATCTATGCTGTATTGCTGCTATTTCCAGATGAACTCTTTATGAATAAGGTTATTCTATACGAACAGCGATAGATGTACGAAATTCAATGTTCTCTCGCGTTCTAGATTACTTGTGGAAAGCTTCTCGATCGGTGTGCATTGTGCACGCAATTAAATCTATACTTCCTAGTCCTAGCAAGGTTTGTGGATATCACCGAATCAGCTCGGTGTAGGGATGTATATATGTGTATTATACGAGTAGGGAAAATATGGAATCATCCCTCGAGGTGACATTCTGCTTGCAAGTTATCCATCTATCCATGAGTTGAGGCTGTGCCAAGATATCCAGGAGTTTGGTTGGGGTGCAGATACTTGTATCAATATGGGATCGAGATACACGGTAACGACGCAGTGAGACTGTGTGAAGCAAATAGACAAACGAGCGGACGAATCAATACATGTCGTTTATATTACGACCATCACATCCAAATGAACTCAATCTTCCCATCGTCCCATTATCCCTTCCCCTGAATCCATCTGCTAAACATCGGATGGACCCACCCACGTGTTTCATCGGCCCGTCGCCGCTACATCTCCCTACCGGCAAGTTGCAACGCGACAAACCCCAGATCGCTGAACCCCCCTCGTAGGTTCTTTCTCGCACTATTTCCCCGACGAGAGTGGATTGGAGATGGATCCTCTGTTTCTTTCATGTTGATTTCACTCTATTCCACATTGCGCATTGCCTTGTTCTGGACCTTTAATCTATTTCAAAAGGTACATATATATCTCGATTTCTCGTTTCTGGATGATCATTCTTCATCTCAAATCATCCATCTCTCTCCCTTTAGCATACAAAATAAATCTCCAAGAAAATCATCATGCGTTTCTTCACTTCCATCCTGAGCATTGCTGCTTTCAGCACTCTCGCAACCGCAACCCTCGACCCCGCTACCTCAAACACCAAGGGCTATTACCCCAAGTCCCCCGCTTGCACAGGTAAACAACCCTCCTCCCTTCCAAATATCAAATCAAATGACTAACCCCTCCCCAGCCACCAAAGTCTCCAAAGCCATCCAAGCCGCCGAATGCGCATACAACACGCGTGTCTCCGGGACCCAAACCTTTGCCGTCTTCCAACAAGATCACCAATATGACAGCGCCCACGGTGCTCCGTATGGAACCTGTTCCGCATACAAGTGTACTGCGCCTACCAAGTCGGAGTTGACGGCCGGAGCGGATTACTGGGTGTTTTATTGGGGGAGCGAGGGAACGAGTAAAGGGGTGGGAACAACTTGTATCAAGAGTCCTGTGGATGGTACTTGTGGGTGTGAGAACTCGACGGGAAAGTTTGTTTATGGGGGAAAGAACTGTGTTTAAGGGATGTATGTGGTGGGCGAAGAGAAAGGGGAAGGGGAAGGGGGAGTGGGGAATTGGAGGAAATGCGATGGAAGGGATGAAGAGGTGAAGAAAGGGTTTGTTTAACTTTGTACATATTTTATTCACGAGACGCCAATGAAATTTTCCATGCTTACTCGATACACACTTTTTCTTTCTCATCTTGATACCTTCCTTCCTACCTATCAACTCATCTCATACTCTGCAATCCAAATCACGAGTTTTCCTTCCAAACCCAAATGTCTCACTCCTCCCCATCTCATTCGATATCCAACCCGGCCCCACTTCCCACCACCTCATCACCGCTAAAACGCAATCCTCCAACGCACGCACGCACGAACAGCGCGGAGTGTTAAAATAGCGTTTGTTGCATGTCTGCAGAATACCACCTTCTTTTGTGAGTTTCTGGAAGGGGTAGAGATGATGCTGATCTGTGGAGTTTTGGGGGGGTCTAGGCTAGAGAGAGATGGATGAGGGTTTTGTTGCTTGTCTGGTTGATGTTACCTTGAGAATTGGAGTGCTGGGATAGGAAGGGATGGATGGGTGGATTGTGATGGATTGTGGATGTATTGTGGATGGTTTTTAAGTTGTGTTCTTTTTTGGAGGGGGGGACAACGATTTTGTGGAGGGCTGAGATGTGGTTGGTTGGATGGATGGATGGGGATGTGTTGCGTTGTGGTTGCTGGGGAGAAATAAGAAATAGCTTCTTTTGTTGCGTATCTGTGAATGCTACGTTCGTTCCTTGTTCATCTGATTGGGGAGGGTCGGTGGTGAGCCTCAGATTGTCTTGGGAGGATGGAGATCTATTCCTGGATAGGGATGTGGATGGGGATCCTTTACTGTAGGTTTTGAGAAGGGGTTTTGTTGCATGTCTGGTGAATGCTACCTTCTTCGATGAGTTGGCTGGATTGGGTATGCAAAGCGGGGATTTGGGGATTAGGTGTTGAGATATGGATCGATGTGATATAGATGGATCTTTCACCCCATTTTTTAGAGAATGGAGAGGAATTGTTGCATATCTGATGAATGCTACCTTCTTCCATAAACTGTCCGGATTGGGTATGCAGAGTGGGGATTTCAGGTCCCAAGAGGTGAGACATTTCTCGATGTGATATAGATGAATCCTCCACCCCATTCTTTGGGATGAGAAGCAATTGTTGCATATCTGATGAATGCTACCTTCTTCTATTTCGTCCCATCTTTAACGCCGGGATGGAATTGTTGCACGTCTGTTCAATGCTACCTTCTTCCATAAACTGTCCGGATCGGGTATGCAGAGCGGGGACTTCAGGTCCCAAGAGGTAAGACACATCTCAATGTGATAGATATATGGATCCTTCACCACATTTTTGGCAACGAGGATGAATTGTTGCATATCTGATGAATACTACCTTCTTCCATGTCACTCCATCTTTAAGCCTGAGAAGCAAGTATTGCTTGCGTATCTGATGAATGTTACCTTCTTCCATCCATCACCTAAATCCAGAATACCAAGCAAAGTCGCGTGAGCCGTAGTATCGACAACTTCGTATCTTCCACTCAGGTTAAGATGATATAACCATCTCGATACATTCTCCCTTATCCTCCCCATATTCTCACGGCCGGAAATCTTGTCCACTTGATTAACACCACTTTCTCCCTCCCTTCTCCATCGAAGATGCCAAGTGCCAAGTTCAAGCACATGATAACTTAACATAATCTTACCCAAGATTTTCCATCTCTCTGCATCCTTCAAAGCGCTTCCCATGACCGAGAAGGATTTGTTGCATATCTGATAAATGCTACCTCCTAGGTTTGTTTGTGTATTTTTGGTTAGGGTGAAGAATACTGTTTGGTGGAAGATCTGAGCATGGTCTGTGGGATGTGTGATGTGTGATGTGTGAGATGACGATGGACCCGAGTCTGAAGGATTGATTGTTGAAGAATGGGGGATGATGATGATGACGGTGATGATGACAGCAAGAGTGAAAAGGTGGGGTGGGTGGGCGCTTAAATTTTTATATTTGGAATTTGCAAAACTTCGGGATTTTGGGCGCTTGTGATTATAATGGTTTGAGAATTTCGTGTGGGTGATTTTAGCATGATGGATGCTTGTGGTGGTAGTTTTATTGTTGCATGATATGATGATTGTTAGAGCAGAGTTTGTGTCACGGTATTTTCTTCACCGCTAGTCTCGGTGTGTAGGTAGATGAGTGGAATTGACAGTGAGATCAAATTATATCTCTTTAATAACAATACCATCAGTATCTGTTTGATTGTCGTTCATTTTATTTGATTTGTCAATTTTGCAATTCTGGCAAGGCAGTTCAAGGAGACTATAGCTACCATGGAAATGGTCCAAGAATATTGACTCGATAACTTCGCCTGGTAATACTTTTTGGCTTTGATTCTCCGATGCTGAACAAGTGTTCATTTATATAATTAGATAGTCCTGTGTATGCATCCTGCGCTGGAAAGCTTAAAGGATAATGGGCCCAGGAGGGGTAGAGAAGACATGCGAATCATATACTCTACAGACTCCTTGTGTTAGTAAATCATAGACAGTAATCAAAGGTTCATACAGATGTCTTTCTGCTATTTAAGGACTCTAACTCTCCCATCTAAGAATTAAAACGATTAAAACAATTTCAAGCGAGGAAAAGTGTTCTGGTCTAGCAGTCAGTCCAAACTCGTGTTTATAACCGTCTTGTACTGATACCTGTGTCCTACATTTCGTTTTGGTTGATGACATTTTGGTAGCTAAGCACGAGAGACTCTGTTTGTTTTCATCCAGTAATGTTGTTTTGCAGTTGCTGTGGAGTTTTGCTGTCACTATGATTCCGAATATGA